TGTGTGAGTCCATTTTTGTTTCCCCAAGCAAAGCTCTCATTTTCTCTGATTGGACAGTCTCCTTCCTGAACCTCTGTTATCACATTAGTTTTTGTTAGGTCACTGGCCCTGGGTTAGACTCGCACCTGACTGGTACCCAGAATGACTTCTGATTAGAACTGGCGTGTTTCCTTGCTGACTCTTGCCAGGGTCATGACGGGGCAGCCTCCACCCTTCCCTGCTGTGTGTGATGAAACACTGGCTGCTGTTGTCACTGGCCTTCCTTTAGCAACTGCCCCACGGAGAGAGACACTATCTACAGCACTGCTCCTACGTGGGACCTGGCCAACTTGTCCTCTGTTATGCGACTGTCAGCCATGATTTGCAGGAAATGAGAAAAGCAGCCAAGGATTAAAACAATTTGCAACCCTGTAATTTGTGAATAAGTAACACGCTCACATGTTTCAGAATTCAAGAAATGCAAAAAGTTATATGCCACGGATTTCCCTCCCATCTCTGCCCATTAGCAGTCCAGGATGCTTGCTTTTGTGGTGGTGGGGGGTGTGGGGGGCATGGAATCTCTACATGGTTATATATTTAAATGTCTATTCTCACACCACTCTCTCTGCATGTTTCTGTCTTTATTACTACAACAAGCACCCATTTCGCTGGGTGTCCTCACCCCAGACTCAGTACCTAACCGAGTGCTTTGGCAGACATCCTGGACCAGCTGACAGTGCTTGTAATGCTAGGATATTTGATGAGTCAGGGCTTGTGGCATCTTTATTTGATTGTGAATTAGACGTGTTTTCATTCACTTCGTTCGTTCGTGTTCTCCCCGAGATAAGGCAAGAAGCGGAGAGAGGCGCACTGGCTTTGCTCATGTAGCCTTCCTTTCCTAACTACACTGTCTTGCCGCCAGTTGAGAATGGTTTAGGGCTCACTCATGCATTCTTTAGGGGAGCGATTGTGCAAGAAATGTTGATATTTTCCAATTGTTTCTCCTTTTGGCTTTTGCAAGAAAAATTGTCCCTGCCTCACCCTGACACCCCTACACACACACACACACACACACACACACACAGAGGCCCGGTGGAGTTTCTGCTCTTCCATCTCAGAATCTCTAAAAAAAGTAAGAAAAGAACTACTAGGCAGCATCTTGTCTTCCCCAGGGAGGAGCGTTTCTGCTTTGGCTTGTGCTCCATTTGAGGTGTCAAAAGTTTGGGGAGATTCTTCTTGTCCTCTATTTGGCTCAAATCAGGCCCCGCTGGGAGCCAGATCTTCTCTTTCCTTGCCAGGGGCAGAGAACTTACCTTTTTTTTTTTTTTTTTCAGTCACTTCCTGTGTACTTTGCCGCTCTGGGTCTTGGGGCCCTGGCTGCTCAGAGGCCTCAGGCACAGGACCATATCTTTCTGCTTCGGCTCTTCTCCAGACACCTAGCCGATGGGCAGCGAGCACAGGGACCGGTGATTAATAGCCAGGTCCTTAACTGTCTCTATCCTTGTCTGTCATAAGTCTGCTATTTTGGTCTCTGTGACTTGTGGCTGCACCATGATTAGGGTTTGATTACTATCACCAAAGTGACTAAAAGATGAAAATAGAAGCCACAACAGGAAATAAACAACTGCAAATGAGATATTTTATTCCACGTTCTCTGCCAGAAAATGGTTAGACTCAAATCCATTCACAATAGCTTGGACTCCTAACTTCCTTTTCTAAAGAATCAGAATAGTCTGAAGCTGAGTTCTTGTGGGTCCCACTTGTGCCTGTAAAGCGAAAGAAGCGTCCTCCCTTTCTAGGCATGCCAGCCAGGCCGAGCTCTACTGCTGGCTTCTGGCTTCTTTCTTGGAAAGGGAAGAAGCAAGAATGTGATGGGGTGGGGCTGGCTGTCAAGAAGGCTGGGATGCTAACAGATTCAGGGGATGCCAGGGACCATAAAGCATCAGCCATTGCAGCTACTTGCCCAGAATCCCACCCACTTCTACGTCAAGTAGTAAAACGAAGGAGGAAAGCTGTGTAGAGAGGGCAAAATAGAGGTGACGCCTGGATTAAAACACCCACAATTACACTAGATGGGAACATAGCTCTGCAAGTATATGCACGTTCCATCCAGACAAGCTGTGACATCAGATTCAACCTCCTGAAATACCCATTACACCTATCTGCCTTGTGTGTACTCAGGCCTTTCATCACAGAGCCTTAGCACCGCTCACGTTCCCAGATTTCTTCTGATTGTCCATGTAGCCACAAAGCTTAATTAGAAGGGTGGCATTTGCTTTCTGTTTATCCAATTCTTCCTGTCATCTTGTAGCCTGGGTTAGCCTCTCTGGCCTAGTGAGACCCAGAACACACAGAGAAAATGGAGCCCTGTAAGGACACAACACTTGCTTAGAAAGTCCAAGCAGTGTCTCACCTGAGGACCACTGTTAGCACAAGCTCTGCCCAGTGAGTAGCAGAACTCCAACATGAAATCAGTGTTTTAAATCTTCCTATGCCTTTCTAAGATTTATTTGTGTGTGTGTGTGTGTGTGTGTGTGTGTGTGTGTGTTTCTCGATTGCACAGGTGTGTATGTATGCAGTATGGAGGACACCAGAAGATGGGGTAGATTCTTCTGGGATGGAGAAGTGGATGTTGGGAGGCAAACTCAGGTCCCCTGGAAGAGTAGCAAGTGCTCTCAAACCTCTGAGTCACGCACGTCCCCAGCCCCTTCCTGCTCCTTTCTAAGTGACTGCATCACACTTTTCCTAGACCTCATTTCTGTCTCTCTGGTCTCTCCCTGCCTTTCCCCATCCCTTCTTTGGTCATCTCGACTGCAGCCTTCTTCCCAGGAGGCTTTAGAATGTGTACACATAATTCCAACAAACAGCACTTTAATGTTTAGCAAAAGCACTCCGCTGCCCAGTCCCTTCCAAAGTGTTGCTCTCTGTCCTGTCCTTTGATGGTTTCCTACTCTCTGGCATTTTGCTGTCTTCTCTCCACAACTTAGGGTTCTGTAGCCAAGAGAGGATCATGTGATCAAAACTGTTGGTTTTCTTTTTTATTCCTGTGCTTTTGGTAGGGTAGGGGAATGGTCTGAATACCCAACTTTAAGTATTGTTTTCTACCATTTGTGTGTTGTTAGGAACTGCACCCAGAGCCTCCAATGAATTAACACTTCCAGCCCTCTAAATCCCTTTCAGAAAGAACATATAATTCCTGTTGGGAAACATAAATACTACATCCCGCCTTTTGTAAAAATTCGGTTCATTATTGTCGTAATCTCACACTTTCAGACGACTTCTTAAACACCCAGTAAACAGTATGTGAGGTTGGATCACCATGCCAACTAGTGGCCTCAGTATCCTACTATTCTCACGCCCAGGACCTTTGCTTGACAAATCTTTCCTACTTCCAAGCAGCCACCTGCATCTGGGGATGGCTTTCTCTGGTACGTGAGGTCAAGGGTTAAACACCCTGACCCTAAGCACCTTGAAAGCCACGAAGCCACGAGGGCACAGGAACAGGCCCCGCGTGCGAATGAAAGGTCTAAACTGGTCTGCTCGCTGGGTAACCTTCCCGCGCCGGGAGGCCGAGTGGCGGGTGCCGGAGGTCTTCCGGGCAGGGAGGAAACCTGCCGGCGGCGCGCAGGCGAGTTGCACCCCTCCTCCCTCCAGGATGCTGCCCCTCGCTGCTCGTCAGTCTGCCAAATGCATTCCAGAGCTGTGCACAAGACACACTTCTCCAGGCAGTCCTAGAAACCCGAGCCCGGAGCGGGAGAGGGCGGGAGGGAGCGCGGCGGCCGCTGAGGTCACATTCGCGCCGCCTCTCCGCCCTCGGCCGCCCGGCTGTTCCCTCTAGCACACACTTCCCAGGGCCTCTGTCCTGGCCGGTGTAAATGTCTTTGAAACAGACAGCGCTCTCCTCCCCTTTCCAAGGGATCCGCCGCCAGGGCCTTAAAACAAATCGAATGAATGAACCGCCGGGGCGAGCTCCGCTGGTCTAAATCGGGCCACAGTCCGACTCGTTCTGTTCCAAACTCGCCCGCTCCATGCCCCCAGCTCTTTGATTTCTCCCCTGCTCCCGCTGGGTCTCCGCCGACCCCCGGCCTCCCACCTCCCTGCACCCATGGGTACCCCTCTGCAGACCTGGGAGAGGGTGGCGGTAACGGGGAGGGGGGTTGAAATAGCTTTTAGAAACCCGATCTGTTGTTTGCGAAACACAATCGCTTTTTTTTTTTTTTAAAGCGACAGGGTGTCTAGACGGCCACGTGACGAGGCCGGAGCCGGGCGCGCCACTGCGCAGTGGAACCAGCCGAGCGGAGGGACGGGTGGGGGGGGCGGGAAGGAGGCGGCGGCGGCTGGGGGCGGGGGAGGGAGGGGTAGAGGGGGAGGGAAGGGGGCGGAGGCGGGAGGCCTTGCGGGAGGCGGCGAGCCCTGGGCACACTCGCTAGCAGATCGGCGCACAGAGGATCTTGTCCCCGAGCTGCGCCAGCAGAGCCAGCCGGGCGCCTCGCTCGGTCCGCTCGCCGCGCCGGAGAGAGCTGCCCGAGACGCAGCCAGCCAGCCGGCCGGCGCCACGCCGCCGAGCGCTCGGCCCCGGAGTCCCTGAGTGCGGCGCGGCGAGCCCCCAGCGGCGGCAGAAGGACTCGAGAGCCAGGAGAGGGCGGACGGGGGACGAGGAGGCTCCCGAGCGCGACGAGGAGAGTCTCGGAGGAAGAGGCAGCGAGAGGACACCCGGGCCTCCCGCCGCCACAGTCGTGTCGGGGCCAGCAGCTCATTCGGGCAGCCTCGGCCACCCGCGACCAGGACAAGGGGCATCGGCGGCCCCCACACTAGCCTGCTGCTTGTGCCCTCGGGGGCCAGAGCTTGCGACCAGCCAGAGCCCGCCGCCGCGCCGCCCTCCCCCGCGCTGACAGCCCCCCGGGGCGCAGCCGCCGCCGCCGCAGCATCTTCTCTCCCTGCTTCTCCAGCGCCGAGGAAGTCCCCGCCGAGGACCTGGGCCCCCGGGAGCGCAGGAGGAAAGACCAGAGACTCTGAAACACCCAGACAGCAAGATTGAAGCAGCCTAGCCAGACCCTTCTGTGGATTAAAAGAAATACGGTTTTTTTATTTTTTTTTATTTTTGGCAGAAGGAAAGGAAGACCGGCGAGGTTCTGCAAGGAAAAAAAAAAAGGGGGGGGATGTAACTCGTGGATACGTTTTTTTTCTCCACCCCTCCAACATCTTGTTTTACTTTGTAAACATTTTCTCTTTTAAACCCGGGCTCCATCCGGTGGCCCCCCAGACCTCCGAGGTGCCAGGAGGCGTGTTTTTTTTTCATTGGGAGCTTTGCATATTTGGTTTTGGGTTTTTTATTTTTATTTTTTTTAGAGACCCTACAGACGTCTCACGCGGGGTGAAGTCTACTTTGCCCTCTCCCTCTACGTGTGCACAGAATTCGAGGAGATCCGGTTACTAAGGATATAGAAGAAAAAAAAATAAATCGTGTGCCTGCTTTTTTTTTTTTTTAATTGCCTGCTTCTCCCCACCCCCAAATTAAGTTGCTTAGCAAGGGGGAAAGAGGCTTTTTCCTCCCTCCAGTAGCTCAGCCTAAAGCCTTTCATTTTTTTGCTCCCGAGGATCTTCCATGTAGGAAGCCGAGGCTGGCGAGCCCGACACTCGGGTGCCACTGTAGGGGGGCCTCTTTTGGGGGAGTCGTCCACCGGGGCAGTCTCGGCCGCCCCCAGGGAAGCGGCGGCCGCGTTCCTCCGGGGCGCGCCGGGGCCCGAGAGCCGCGCAGGGCGCGGGCCGCGCCGGGTGGGGCAGCCGAAGCGCAGGCCCCCGATCCCGGGCGGGCGCCCCTGGGCCCCCGCGCGCGCCCCGGCCTCCGGGAGACTGGCGCATGCTACGGAGCGCCCCTCGGGCCGCCGCCGCTCCTGCCCGGGCCCCTGCTGTTGCTGCTGTCGCCTGCGCCTGCTGCCTCAACTCGGCGCCCGACTTCTTCATGGTGTGCGGAGGTCATGTTCGCTCCTTAGCCGGCAAACGACTTTTCTCCTCGCCTCCTCGCCCCGCATGTTCAGGACCAAACGATCTGCGCTCGTCCGGCGTCTCTGGAGGAGCCGTGCGCCCGGCGGCGAGGACGAGGACGAGGGCGTGGGGGGTGGCGGCGGCGGAGGAGGCGAGCTGCGGGGAGAAGGGGCGACGGACGGCCGGGCTTATGGGGCTGGTGGCGGCGGCGCGGGCAGGGCTGGCTGCTGCCTGGGCAAGGCGGTCCGAGGTGCCAAAGGTCACCACCATCCCCATCCCCCAACTTCGGGTGCAGGGGCGACCGGGGCCGCCGAGGCGGATCTGAAGGCGCTCACGCACTCGGTGCTCAAGAAACTCAAGGAGCGGCAGTTGGAGCTGCTGCTCCAGGCCGTGGAGTCCCGCGGCGGTACGCGCACCGCGTGCCTCCTGCTGCCCGGCCGCCTGGACTGCAGGCTGGGCCCGGGGGCGCCCGCCAGCGCGCAGCCCGCGCAGCCGCCCTCGTCCTACTCGCTCCCCCTCCTGCTGTGCAAAGTGTTCAGGTGGCCGGATCTCAGGCATTCCTCGGAAGTCAAGAGGCTGTGTTGCTGTGAATCTTACGGGAAGATCAACCCGGAGCTGGTGTGCTGCAACCCCCATCACCTTAGTCGACTCTGCGAACTAGGTAAGAAGTTGTTCTGTGTCCACCTTTCGTTCCCTCTGGCGCGGAAGTGCTGGTAGAAAGGCCCAGGGTGTGTGCATCCCCTTCTGGAGGAGACGAGGGAACTAACTAAATCAGGGAAGGGACAAGGGGACACTCGACATTCTTTGGGGGTTCCCCCTCAATATTCTATCTCACGCCTCCACCCCTCCGGAGGAGGAGGACCCATGGAGACTGCTTGTGCTTATAGTGAACAGGCATGCGGCAGAAAATGAGACACACTTATTTCCGGGTCAGCAAGCGAATACAGAGAGAAGTGGGGATCACTCTTCCCCCACACCCGGAAAGGCGTTGAGGTGTGTGGCCGAGTTGGATTCGGTCCAAGCCCGCCAAGGAAGGTTGGGAGAAACTAGCTATAAAAGCAGGAAAGTCTCCTCTCCTTTAGTAAATAAGGACAGTCACGTGGGGCAGAAGTGGCCCAGATACTGTCCCGGCCTCTCAGCTTTGGAGTTTGGGGGCAGTGGTAGGATGGAGACCGAACTGGGTATCCGCTGTCAGCTGCACCAGCCTCAGCTTGAGAAGGAGCAAACAGCCTGTAGAAGTTGGGTGGCCTCTACTATTACCTTTATTCCTCACCAAAAGCATAAAATAAGTGGTCCTTAGAACTCAGACCCTCTTCTTAATTGCCCTGGGGCCTGGGCTTCATGGTTGGGACCTGGAGCAGGTTCCTATACTCTTATTATCTTCCTGGTTCTTCCATGCCTTCTGGTTTCTACACGCCTTTGTGCTCAGAGCAGAGAGGCATACCTTGCTCCCCTTAAGTCTTCCATTCCAAGTTCAGCAGCACACTTAGGGTGCTTTTTTTCCTCGGTGGGCTGGGTAGGATTCCCTAGTTGGACGCCTGGGTGCCAAGCTGAGCAGCGGGGATGGAGGTGAATTGTGCTGGTCGAGGCGGGGAGGACCGGGGAAGCGGGGTCTGTAGTTCTAGAACGCCGAGGAGCCCCGGGCGTCCCCACCCTGCGGCTATTCTGTTCGAGGCCCCACCGGTAGAGCCCTGGCCCAGCCGGTGGTTTCCAGCCCGGCCCGCCGAGCACGGCGGCGGCGGCAGCCACAGACGTGGAGGAGCGGAGAGCGGAGGCTGGCGCCAGGCGGTCTCTTTTGTTTATCTGACAGCTAAATATCAAGGCAATCACCGCCTCGCGGCCCTGCCTCCAACCCCCACAGCTAAGACAAACAGTTGGGCTAAAAGAATGCCTGAGTTATCATAAGTTTCTATCTCTGTTTCTCATGGCTCAGCCTTTATATTCTCTTACTTTTTTAATTTCAGAGTCTCCCCCTCCTCCTTACTCCAGATACCCAATGGATTTTCTCAAACCAACTGGTGAGTAGATGATTTTCAAAGGTCTTTTTCCTTTCTTAGAACCTTGGGTTTTGTATCTGATCTGGGGCTGGGGTGGTTCTTTGCTTGCTCAAGGCAGTTAGTTTCCTCTGTTGCAGGTTTGGTTGATTTTTTTTTTTTTCCCCTTGTTGTGATTGGATCCCCCCAACCCAAGGCAACTTTTTATTTTTCCTAGATATGTTTTACAATTTGTTCCCTTTTTCTGCGTTTGAACTGTGTGACGGAAGTTAGTTCAGCTTTATTTAACACATGGAGGCTTTTAATCCACTGAATGTCTTGGGAGCCAAATAGGACAGGTTGATGGAAACATTGTGAAGCTTTGAAGTGCCAGAAGAGTGTGGGTCGGGATGGTTAAATGGATGAGAAGCCTTTCAGAGGCCCCGGCGTGGAGTGGAGGGAGGTCTTCAAGGAGTGCAGCAAGTTTAGAGGGGATTTGATTACCTCTCCCTGCTCAGCACCCTACAAGTCTGTTTTCCTCTGGGGTGCGCTCAGAATTCTTGGTAGAGAGACCATGAAAAGTTTTCAGCATAGTAGCTCTGCCTGCCTGTTGTTTTGTCACGGATGGCAGGGGGCCAGGGCAGAAGCCCATTGGAGACTGGCACCGGCCCTGTGTGTGGTTGTCTGCATTCAGCTGCTGGCTGGCAGCATAAGGGCCCAGCCCTGGAGAGCTGGCAGTGCCAGGGGACAGGGTCAGCGAACAGTCTGGGGACGACAGCAGGGACAAGCCCCACTTCCTCCTCAGAGTGGAGGGATTTCAGAATCATTTGCTCAAAGTCCAGGTTTCAACGTTGGCTTTTGCGCCTGTTGCATGGTGCTTACAAAAAAAAAAAAAAAAAAATGCAACACTTGTGACATCTTTGCTTTGCCAAGGAGAAGGAAAAGTGGAGGGCTGGGCCCTGTTTAGTTCTTGGAACCTTCTGCCTCATGAGTTTTGGCTGTTGCCCCCCCCCACTCCCCATTAAAAGTTTTGTGGGGACACTGTCATAAGTTAAGTACTTAATGGATGTGTACGGGAAGCCCCAGCTAGCCCTCCCTCCAAACTCCCGCCAGTCTCCTCAAGTCGGGAAGGCGTTGCTGCTTGCCTGGTCCCTGTCTAATAGGTGGCCTGCAGAGTATGTGATATTTTGCTTTCGATTTGCAAAACACCAGATAAATGGTTATTAATGACAAGATAACTGGCTCTCTGTATTTTCAACAGACTTTGACTGGCGTTAGCAAACTCTCCTGGCTACAACTTGCTTGAGTTTGTGGCTTAAAGAATCAAGTGTCTTCCAGGAGGTTACTTCTTCTCCAGGGAGGGGTCCTGAGGTTCTCCTGGTTTTGTTTTCCCTTCGCATCTTTCAAGCGTGGGGAGTTAACTTTAAACAGAAAGAGAAGTCCCTGTGACCCTGCTCTGGTAGATGCTCCCCCTAAGGACCCCGGCTCCACGGAAAAGAAGGGCCATGTGGTCTTGGGTTTGTGGGGAAAGATACTGGGCAAATCTGTTCACAAGATTTAAGCAGTCCTTCTGGCAGGCCGGGACCTCATATTCTGGGAGTGGAGTGATATATTTATTCATTAGCAAGTGTTGACATTAGGTAGCAAAATGTGTGTAAACAGAGAAGCCACAAAGACAGGAATGTGCCATTTCCAAGGAGGGGAGCAACCTTGCCCAGATCAACCAATAGGAAGTGATTAGCCTGCCAATCGGAAACCCAGGCAGCAAATGTTTTGCTTAAAACAAAACCCAAACTCAGGCACCACTGTGTAAGAACAGCAGGGACAGCAGAACAGGCTTTAGGAACTGGCCCAAGGGACTGGCCTTGGGCAGGTTTTGCTGGTTGTGGTGACCCAGGGGTATGTAGCTAGAGCGGCTTTGTCACATTTTTCTCCCCATCCAGAGTATGGGAAAGAACTGGACCTGGGGACTCAAATATCCCTTCCCAGCCTGAGCTTGAAGAGTTTGGTGTTGGGTTACATCGGTGAAACAGGAAATGGGGTTTCATAGTGGACAACTGTTAAAATCTTAATGAGACGATACAGCTGAGGGGAACCCTTTTGTGAAGTCTCCTGCTTCAGGAGAACTGACTAGAAGGGGCTGGAACCGGGTAGAGTTGAACTAGGAACCTTGGGGGTACTGACTGGTTGAACTAGGAACTCTGTGATGGCTGCCCCCTCTGGAGGGGCTGGACTTGGTCTACACCTGGCTCTCTCTGTCTGCAGCCCCAAGCCAGAGTTGTCTGCAGGGAGTATTGGACTTGCCTGGACCTTAGGGCAAAGTGGCTGTGACTTGTGGCATTGGCACGGCATGAAGGGCACTCCCATTTCCCCATCCCACAAGGAAAAAGAATTTGCCATTTGCTCCTGGATCTCACTTTGTAGAGTTGGGATGCTTGAGGCCTCCACTTCCTGTGAGCACTGAGCACTGTATCTTCAGCTCTGAGGCTGGGGACCGGCTGCTGGGATGGATGGATGGATGGATGGAACGAAGGAACATCCTTCACAGCCTAGCAGAACTGCTGGCATCTTGATCTTCCATCTGGTCCTCTTAATTTGGGTCCCTTAGCTTTTCCAAGTCTTGTTAAGACTTCTATATGACTTTGATTAGATCATTCATTCATTTATTTACTTACTGCTGCCGTGATTCATTATACAAAGTAGTGCCTGGGAAACTCAGAGGAACTAAGTTGGAAAGAACCTTTAAAGTTCCCCAGACTGTAGGTTACAGTTCTGTTAGAACTGCTGGGAGAAGGGGATGCGTGTCTTTCTTCCACAGAACCAAGGGCTTAATTAGGATGATACAGGAGAGCCGGGAATGGCCCAGCTTTGCCCCCTGCCAGGCTGGGCTCTGGGGAGAAGGAGATAGTGGTGGAAGGTGAGACTCTGACTTAAGAGATTTATCCCTGCAGCGTGTTTGGTGGGTGGATGCACTCTGGCTCGCTTGACCTTTGTAAGCTAGGGAATAGATTGGGGCCAATCCAGACACCAGAGACTGGTTGAGCCTGGCCAGCTCCAGGGAAGAGGTGTAGGACTCAGTGGCCTGCTTGGAAATGGAAGCCCTGGGATAAGCAGGACTTGGGTGGCTCAGCTCCCTGGGTGGCCCCCAGCCCTGGAATCAGTGGCACCTCAGTTTACCTGGGTGCCTATCGAATGTGTTGCTGCTTCACAGGGTTGGTAGGGAGGCCTAATTAATGTGTGTAAATCCCTCCTAAGATCAAAGGCGATGCAGAGGCCAGAGCACATTTCATAAAAATCACTTGTGGTTGCATCTTGGAGCTGGCTCACCTTTGATGTGAGCCAAGCTGACACCCTGACTGAGGTCTCCAGGTCCTGCCCTGGAGAGGCCAGGCTTTGCCTTTGAAATACACCTTGCCCCTGGCCTTCAGCCAGCCCGAGCTGTGGGAGTGTCTTCCATTTGGGGGGAGTGGAGGAGGGGAATGAAGAGCCAATCTCTGGAAAATGGTGGGGCAAGAATCATAATTTAGAAAGTACAGGCTTGCGCCATATGACAGGGAACTCCTTTTCCTGACACCCTCCCCCCCATCGTTTTCCATTTGATTAAGCTGTATATTCCTGGTAGGAATTATCCTCTACCCTGAAGAAATGAGGTTGTATACAGCCTCTCCCCCTCCCCCACCAACCCCGCCTCTGTGCTCCCTCCCATTTTGAAGAGGTTTTTCTTCAATTTTTAAGTGCACACTGGGCAGAGTGCTCTATACCCAGGTGCCCTACCTCCCTTTCCTCATCTTCCAGCCTTGGGAAGAGAAGGCCTCAGAGGGAGGGATCCTCAGCAGAGATCTGTGGGGACTGCGTTGGCCAGGGTTGGCAGTCAGGGGCAAGAGGCAAACTATTGTGGCACCGAAGGGCTGTCCAGGCTACTTGCCTCTAGGCTTCTCTTTTGCTTGGAGGAACTGTCTGCCAGTGTGGCCAAAGGAGCATCTGCTCATGCCTGATAGCCCGGGGTGGGAGAGCCGGAGTCTGCACAAACCAGTGGCGCATTTGTTTTCCTAGAGCCAAACTTTGCATGGGGACTTGGGGAAGAAACTTGATGTTGGTAATGGTACAGAAGAAAGTTCCAGGTGACTGCGCATTTGTTCCTGGGGACTAATTACTTGTGATTTGTGGGCTTTGTTTTCTGTTGCAATTGCTTGGAGGGTCTGTCTCTCAGCTGGAACTGTCATTACGCAGAGGTCACCGGGCTGCTGAGCACCTGGGAGCAAGGGGAAGGGCAGGGGACACAGAATACAGAATCTGTAGGTTAAGGTCCTGTAAAGACAATGGAAGGGAATGGTGCCAGGAAGATTGTGTAAGAACTGAGGCAGGCAGCCTTGTAAGAATGGCGTTGTCTGGGCAGGGTTCCAGAGGTGGGTTTGGGCCAGTTTGGAAGCAGGTAGATAGAACATTTCCCTACAGCCGGGTCTGTGATTAAACTGATCAAAATAAGTGAGTCTACTCAATTCTTCTATGTGTTATATCCCAATTAAAAGGGAGAATGACTTTTTTGAAAGCCACGGTGAGACCCTTGTCTCTGAGTGGAGGAAGGAGGCTTTGTGACTGAGAGAAAGGAGAAGAGGCTTGAGAAAGAACACTTCAAACCTTCCTTGACCTTGGGAATTACCTGATCTCAATGGGAGACTTGTAATAGAAGAGAAATTCCACCCAGTCAGTGACTGAGCCTGACTTGACTAATGATTAACTGGCCGCCCGGAGCCCAGACGGGTGACAAGGTGTTGTGGTCTGTCTTAGGCTGGACCGTGAAGCCGAGTAGACCATTAATAATCTGCATCCGTGGCTGAGTCAGCCCTTTGGAATGTGTGGTCTTTCTTTCATGCTGTTCAGGGTTTTGTAAGAATGAAGTTTTTTTTTTTTTTTTTTTTTTTTTTTGTTTTGGTTTGAGTTTTTTTTTTTTTTTTTTTTGATTATTTATTTTTTATGTGGAGTGGTCTTTTGCCTGTATCTATGTCTGTGAGGATGTCAGATCTTGGAATTATAGACAGTTGTGA